GATATCTATGGGTGTATTCCTACGCACACCTCCGTCCCTTTACCTGTCGATGAGCCTTTTGAGTCCGGCCCACGTTTGGGCTGTTGGGAGCACGGCTGCTGTGAGCACCAAAGGGCGCGTAGCTGTTTGAGGCCTTCCCTCCAAGTCTTTTGGGTGCATGCCTGGGAATAGAATTGCAGGGATCATGCAGTATCCCTAAATGCAAGTTCCTGAGAACCCCCCCAAACTGTTTCCTACGGCAGCTGAGCCATTTTGCACCCCAATACAAGGTGGAGTGGGATGCGGGGGAAGGGTTTTTAGTTTCTCCACAGCCCCGTGGACACTCATTTGTCCCAATTTTCTGAGCATCACCTTTCTAGTGAGTGTGACGGGTCCCTGGGGTGGTGCTAAGAGTTTGTGCTCAACTGCTAACCACAAGGTGGGCGGTTCAAACCCACCCAGAGGTGCTGTGGAAGAACAGGCTGGGGACCTGCCACCAGAGAGATGACTCAAAGAAGCAAACTTGTGGCCATTGCTCTGAGTCCGACTCCCTCGGCAGACCGGCCCTCTGTGGTCCCTCTGAGACAGACATCAGTGTCCGTCCTACAAGGCTGCCCTCAGCCAGAATCGACTGGACAACAGCTGCTTGTTGCTTGTCTAGGCTTCAGCGGAGCAGATTGCCACATCTGTCTCTCATGGATCGGCTGGTGGGTTTGAACTGCCAACCTTTCAGCTAGCTGCTAACATTTGACTGCTGTGCGGCCAGGGTGTCTTTTCTGTAAGGACGATACAACCAAGAAAAACCTCATGAAGCTCAGTCTTAATACTGTAGCACAAGGGGTCGGACCCCCGAATCAGAAAATCAAACCAATGGCAAAGGGTTCGCTTTTCAGTTCTGGAGCGGGTCTTGACGATTTACAATTGTTCAAGCGAGCATGCATATGTTTCCACCTTCCAACCCCCGCACCTCCCACCTCCCGCCCCCGAGTGCGCCCAGGGGCAGGCAGGTGAACTGGACCTCAGCTGTGGGAGACCTTCCCCACACCTCACGGCGCATGTTCAAACCTCGTGTGAAATGGGCATTCTACTTGAGAATGCGTTTGGAGTTGGTTGTGGCATCAAAGTAATATGTTCAATTACATTTATGTCTAAGTTTATGGAGTTTTGTTTTTTGCTCAGATTCTTAAAGTGGAATCAACCTTTCAGGAATATGCCCATATTTCTCCTACCTGTTTCTCCATTGTGGGAGCCAGCCCACATCCAGATGGGTCCTAAGGGTGATGGTGTATGATTGAAGGGAATAATTAAACAGACACCAGACAAAGCATGCAAGGGCTCACCTCTTCCAGGGCACCAGGAACCGAAGAGAGAGCGAATATATTCTTTTATAGGCTTTTGTATTCTCATGTTCTCAGGACATACATACCTCATTAATTAAGCATGTAACAAGGTGGGCAGCATCTTAACCCTAGAAGTCCCTGAGCTCATTGGGGGAGCACTGGGGCCAGGCAGAGGGGAGCCGACTGCCCCTTGAGCAGGGAGAACAAAAGAAACAGGTCCCCTCCTATAGATCAAGGCTCTGGCTGTGTGGTGATCAGCCGTCAGCTTGTGAGAGGTAGCATTAAGTTAACACTACTGTGGGAGGATATTGTGGGGGTGGTCTTCCATTAGGAGAACGTGACTGGGATGTCAGAAAAAAACAGCCTCAAACAACCAAAGGGTACATAGGCACAATTGTACGGCGATAATATCTAAAGATATTATCTTTAATATCTTTATTAAAGATCATAGTAAAGTCATAGAGGGTAGGAAAGATAGGAGAGAGAGTACCATACAGGAGTCAGACACATTGTATGGTAGATGCTCACCTCAGCCCCTCTTGCTGGTCCACGTGGGGGTGGGAGAAGAGAGAAGGAGAGAGGAGGGTCACTTTACTGTCTTGGGATATTTGTAGGCAGCCATAAGACCTGCATATTCAGCAGTTACATCGTCACAAGGTGGGTGGTATCTACGTTAAGGTCCCTGAGCTCACAGGTGAGGAAACCTAAGACCTGCATTGGGGGAAGGGATGAGGGGGGCTGAGTGACACAGTGGGAGGAGATAACAAAAGAATGTCCGCTTCTATAGGGAGATTACATCAACCATGTGCTCACTTGAAGGCAGCATAGCTGTTAGGGGAGAATCTGTGGGAACGCTATTTAAAGCAGGATGATGTACTTGGACTTTAACTTACCAAAGTGGTGGCTTTCCTACCGTGGAGTGCCAGCTTTCCAGATATTCCCTCAGTGATAAGTCAGGGAGTAGAGTCCTCGTCCTGTCTCCCTCAGTGTTAGTCCCACACGGGGACTCTTCTCTGACTCACAAATGTGAAGGCCTCCCCCGACTCATGATCCTGCCCTCCAGGCATCCTCAATCAGGAGAATAGAGAATCTGTCCATCTACACTCTCATCCCGGTCCTCAGTTTCCCACACGCCATGGGCCTCCACCACTGTCCCTTTAATAGGAAAGGTGTCATCAAATAATTTAGGAGTGCTTCCGTAACTCCTTTCTATCCCAAACTAGACAAACTCACGCCACTTTAAGAAAGCCAGTGAGCTATATTGCGTTGAGGGGATTCCAATAAATGAGATGAAGCAAAACTCTTGAATGTAAAACCGATGATCTGTTCTTAAACCTTCACCCAAATCACAATAAAAGATTTAAAATTTGACAGAAGAAGAACAGAGCTATGACTATACCCTAACTGTGGTACAAGGGAGAAAGAAGAACCAGGATGGCCACTAATGAAATAACTTAAAGTGGGTTTTGTGCCACTTTCTGCTGTGCCACACGCTCTTGTACAAGTACGCCAAGATGATCAAATGGGGGAAAGCCCCCAAACTCACGGCCACCAGGTTGATTCTGACTCAGACCCTGCCCTGAGGACAGGGCAGGACGGGCCAGGAGGTTTCTGAGACCATAACTCTTTATGGGAGTAGAAAGCCTCACCTTTCTCCCTTGACCAAAGGAAGTCATCACTGTCAGCCTCTCACCACAAATATATTTGGGTTTCATTGTAATGTAACACATGCCCTTCCTTTCTAGCTGATGTTTTGAAATAAGATATCTATGGGTGTATTCCTACGCACACCTCCGTGTTATGAGGTCCCCTACAGTCAGCTCCAACTCCCATCCACCCGAGAGCACAGAGGAGAACTTCCCCTGTAGGTTTCTGAGACTGTCAATTCTTTGAAAGCCTCAGCTTTCTCCCGCAGCGTGGCTAGTGGTTTCGAACTGCTGACCTGATAGTTAACAGCCCAGTGCTGTAACCCACGCTACCACCAGGGCTCCTCATGCTTTCCTGAAACAGTAATCAAATTTTCAAGGTTCCGGATCCGATCGAGTCCAGTCTTCCTTCGTCTTACATGGGGCGTAGCCTTCTTGGCAAAATGTTTGTCTGAACTATGCAAGACCCGCCCACAAAACCCCGTGTCTGCGTACAAAGTGAGCAGCCCGGACGCAAGAGCCTTCCTCGGGACCGTGGGGCAGAGGCGTTTGAGATGGTGCCCGTATAGCACCCCTCTTTATGGTGTCGTCTCCCTTGGGGGGTTGCCAACATCTCTGACCGCTGTGGGTTAAGTACGCATCACTGGAACAGCCAAGGATGCCCCACGATGTGCGCCCTGCAACCCCTTCACCGTGTGGGGCACTCTGGGATGTCGTCTCCTCGTTGTCAGTTGCCAACCTGAGTCGATTCCAGCTCATGGTGATCCCGTGTGTTAGAGTCAACTGGCCCTCGGGGGCTTGGGGTGTGTGGGGCCATCATCTCTATGGAAACAGAGGGCCGGCCTGTCAGGAGCAGAGCACCTATGGTCTGGGGACTCCTGGGTAGGTTCAAACCACCAACTGTTAGGTTAGCTGTTGAGCACCAACCGTTTGTCACCCAGGAGCCTTCCATCCCACCCACCCCTCAATGTGGCAGGGGCCTGCCCACCCGGAAGTGCCAAAGAAGCCCTCCTGACCCAGTGCCTTCCTTTTCCACAGGGATTGAAGATCAGTGTGCTCTGGACCCTGTACTACGGCGTCCTCAGTGCATTCGCGCCCGTGTACAGCTGGATCCTGGTGCTTCGGGGCCTGGTGGGCTTTGGGATTGGAGGCATCCCCCAGTCGTAAGTAAACACCCAGCATGACACCTCTCCCCTACCCCCGCACCACCACCAAATCCAGCTGCTAGTCAACATGGTGTCTTCTGGGGGGCACGAAAGCACTGTCCCGTCACCAGACCAAACCATTGCCACCGGGTGGATTCTGACTCCCAGTGACCCCACAGGGCACAGTTGAACGGCCCGTGGTTTTTGTCACCTGGCATGCAGGTGTTCTACCCTGAAGTGGGACAGCCTATTACCCAGTCCAAGTCAGAGGAAGAAAGAGAAGTTTCTGTGAGCAGGTGAAGCAGCGAGGAGACCACAGCAGTGCGGCAAGACCTGTGCTAGAGGGGCCCTGTTTGAAATCAGAACGCGGAGAGTACATAGACCTTTGACTTGGGAATTGACACTCTAGGGAGTCACGTACAGATGTACGTTAATTCAGGTTTCAGCAAAATTAGTCTGAGGCCAGGCATGGGATGTCTTTGTTAACTGGCTAGATTAAGGTGACCAGATGTCCCGCTTTTGGCAGGACAGG